TGGAGGGGAGCACAGAGAAAGAGGGAAGGAGTGGGAGGGAGAAAGAGAGAAAGAAGGAGAAAGAGAGAGAGGCTACCTTCACGCAGCAGGAAGGTCGTGGACAGCCTTGGATGGACTTGGACGTGAACGTGGGGAAGGCTAGTGGAGGGGAGGCTGGAGGGGTGTCAGCTCTTTTTCAGGGTGACACTGCTGTCGGAATTCCACCCTCCCCGCCACGGGAGCAGGAAAGCCAGTGCTTCACCCACTTTGCAACAACATTTAAAACCTAAGCAACAGAACTCCACACATGTGCACACGCGTGAACAAGTGTAAGACTAGTAAAATCTGAAAGAGCCCTGTGGGTTGCGCCAACATTGGTCTCTTTGTTTTGATATTGTACTATGTGTAAGATGTCACCGTGGCGGGGAAGCTGGGTGAAGGGTACCTGAAACTTCTATCTTTTTGCAACTTCCTGTGAGAATATAATGATTTCAAAATACAAAAAATTTTTAAAAGCCTCAAGCAGAGGTATGAAATCGGAAAATGAGACTAGCAGCATGAGAGACGGCCCCCCGTCCTCTGTCCTTCAAACCATGAAACCAGCAGCACAGAGGATGGACACAGGGCACAGAGCAACAACCACGGACTCGAGGACCTAGGGATGCGTGGCTCGCCCGAGACACACCGGCTCCTGGCCCCACCACGCCCTCGGCCCCGCCATCCTCGGGGAGGAACTGCACTTCCAGAGGCTGAGTTTTGTCGTCTTCTCCCTGATTCCAGTTGAGAGCCCAACGCTGGCCAGAAACACCCCAGGCCAGCTCATCCTCTCCTGGACAACTGCCCAGGGCCAGCCCTGCCAGGGAGAGCACAGGCAAGGAACAGAACTCAAGGCCCAAGAATGGCTCTGAAGCTGAGATGTGTAAAGAACTTGCACATGCTAAACCCTACCTGTTTACCTAAGTCTATGCTACTCCATGAAGGAGCATGAAACAGTTCCAGGATGCATTTGACTGCCCTTAGCAGGAATGCAGATGCCGCTGGCTGCTTCCCCAGCCTCTCTCCCCACCCACCGAGGGATTTCCTGTCAGCCGTTTGGAGGAGTCTGCCTTCCAGGCACACCTGTCCCTGGTGTGTGTGGACAGCAGGGCAGGTTGCGGCGCATCGGCCTCGCCCACTGTAACTGCGGGCCTCTCTTAGGCAGAAGTCGCACATGAGGACAGAACAGACAGAAGGGGAGTATAGCTTAGAGGCAAAGGAAAAAATATTTTCCATGAACAGGTCATATATTTTCCTATGAAGCTTTGCCTCTTTCCTCAGTCCATTCACTGCTATACAGTGAAGTGTCTGGAAGAAACATTTATCTCTGCCCTCGAAGCCCAGGAACGCCAGCTCTCATTAACTTTCCCATTTTATTCTTTCAGAGGATCCACATTCGGATAATCCAATGTATATGTGGTCAAAATTACCTGAGGCAAGTGTCCAAGGAAAAATCCCCCCACCCTCGCCCCCAATCAATTCTTTAAAAATGCAACCCACTGTCTTGAATTTTGGTAGGTGATTCTGAGGCATTTGTCTGGCAATTGAGAAAGCAATTCTTTAAAGCAATCGCTCTCCACCAGGCGAGTTTGTCCCCCAGGGGATATTTGGCAATGTCTGTAACCTATTTGGGCTGGAATTGGGGCTGGGATGTTACTGGTTTCTAGTGGGTAGAGGTGTTGCTGCACAGGACAGCCACCCCCCAAAAAAGATTTCTGACCCAAAGTGTCAATAGTGACAAGGTTGAGAAATCTAGCTTTAAAGTTCTGCACAAGTTGATTACAGATAACCTCTATTATTCATTCAACAAACCACTACTTGGAACCTAGTATAATCTTAAGATATTATGCTGGGCCCTGAAGCAGGGGAGCCTGCCTTGAAGCATCTAGTAGAGGTTTACAGGAAAATATAATGTAGTGTAAAGCAGCGGTCCCCAGTGTTTTTGGCACCAGGGACTGGTTTCGTGGAAGACGGTTTTTCCACAGACAGGGGGTGGGGGGTTTGGGGGTGTAGGGGTGATGCACGCGGTAATGGGAGCTATGGGGAGCACCAGATGAAGCTTCGCTTACTTGCCCGCCGCTCACCTCGTGCCGTGTGGCCCCGGTTCTTAACAGACCTTGGACGCTATCGGTCCAGAGCCCATGGGTTGGGGACCCCTGGTATAGAGCATGCCAAGCGCCAGAGTGAAAATACAAGTCAAAAGAGGAAAGGCTATAAGTGTGTGAGGCTGGGATTGGGGGGATGGGAGGGATGGATGTCATTTTCCCCAAGACAACTGCAAAGTGCATACTCACTCCCAAATATAAAATTCGCTCTCAAATATAAAATTGAAATAACTGCTAGAAAAGAGCACCAAAGCCCTAAGCACTTTTTAAGCAATCTATCTTTCTGTTTTTATACTCACATCCTCAGAGAGAAGCAATCTGCTGCTTCCTTTTTAACTTTGTTTCTTATTAAGATTATTTTCCTAACAAGAATATTTTTCCAGTGCCAGGGAGATGTTTTATTTCCTTCTCCTGCCCTTAGTTTATTCTCTCCATCTATACATTTAAAATATTGATAAGCACAGTGTAATTTTGCACCTGCTAATTAGCTAAGCGACACACGGTTAGCCTCTTTTACCTTTCCGCAGATCGCAACTTAAATTTGCTCACGATTTTGAGGATGCACGTTCCCAAACGTCTGTTAGTTGGCCTCTTTTTCGATACCGAGGGCCAAATGTGTAGCAGAAACAATTGTCTCCTTATCCCCTGGTCCCATTTTCCAAGATGAAAGAAACCCTGGGATGACACGAAGATGCCAGTGAAGAAGTAAACTAAGCATAAGAGAAAATGGCTTTTATCCCCCCAGAAAATTAGTGACCAGATCACAGGGGGGTTCATCAAACGAAAGTGCACCTAGATTAGATTCGCAAGCCTGAACAGCCTAGTGATCGTTTCCACGGCAGGTATCACAGACAGTTATATGTCCTCCAGGTCAGCGATGTGGATGATTAAACGGTCTGGAACGCTCCCATCGACAATGTGAGCGCATAGCTAAGCTGAAATTGAAGCCAGTTATGAAACAGAACCGCCAGATGCCATATGTCTGCATGCAAATGCCATATGTCTGCATGCAAAGGTTCCAGGCAATCTTACTAATCAGAAACTTAACATACGTCTTCAAGGCTCTACTTTGTGAGTGCCTCTGTGCAGTACTGGGGGGCAACTTCTTATTGATTTGTTTTTAAGTCTGGGTTTGAACCTTGACTCTGCCACTTTCTAGTTCTTGAACCTAGGTAAGTCAGCACCACCTCATTCAGTCTTTATTTTCCCACCTGTGAAATAAGGACAATCGTGCCTGTCTCTCAAGATTGTCATTCATTCTATCAGTCTAGGTCCGGTCAGGAATTCAGAGACCCTGTCAGTCATCTCCACGGAGAAACTTTAATACAGAGTGTTGGTTAAGCAGTTGTTAGAGAACCAGAAAAGCAGAAGGAAGCAGCTGCCCCCAGAGGGCTATGAGCAGAGGACAGAGGTTAGGGTTGTTAGAACCTGGAAGCTTGAAAGAAGGGCCTGAGCTGCTGAGACGCTGCCAGCTGGGGAAGGGGCGATGGCCTCCGAGGTACCATCATCACAGAAGCTTGGAGCCAGTAGAGCTGAGCCTCAGCTGATTCCAAGAAGGTGCAAGGCAAAATAAATAAAGTGTAGTATAAAGTAAAAAAAAAAAAAAAGAGAGAGAGAGAGAGAGAGAGAGGGACACTGGAACCAACAGCCACTGCCAGGGTGACAGGCCATCGCCGGGCGACACGCTCAAGCATCAGCAAGCGGGTAAGAAGAAGCAAGTCCTTCGCCCGCTCAGCCCCAGTCTGACCTCTGGCACATCTCTGGCAGGTGGCAAAGGAGAAACGTGGTTGAAGAGCGCCCCCAGCTTCACACAGCAGAGCCCTGAAGGGTGGATTTGAAGCTGAGGTAGCTTCATACGTGGCCCGTTCATCCACTCATGTGTGCATTTATGGAGTGCTTACTATGTGTCCGACTGCAAGGCTCTGTGCTAGGCACTGGGGGGTCTGAAGAATTAAGTCGATAGCTCATAAAGTGCACAGTTCAGTGACTCACATAACATAGACTCTCAGTTAAAATCAGTCGTCCTCTCTGGGGCCCAGTGGGAAACATGAAGGAAAAGGACATGGAAAGCAAAACAATACAAACAAAACAAACACTGGCTCTTGCCTCTAGGAGCTCTGTGTTTAGGTTAATTATTGTGGGACAAGTCAAAGAGCAAAGTACAAAGTCATACGTGCTTGTATACTTTAAAAAGTATTTCGAAAAAAAAAAAAAATTGGGGCTTCCCTGGTGGCGCAGTGGTTGAGAGTCCGCCAGCCGATGCAGGGGACACGGGTTCGTGCCCCGGTCCAGGAAGATCCCACGTGCCGCGGAGCAGCTGGGCCCGTGAGCCATGCATGGCTGCTGAGCCTGCGCGTCCGGAGCCTGTGCTCCGCAAAGGGAGGAGCCACAACAGTGAGAGGCCCGCGCACCGCAAAAAAAAAAAAAAAAGTATTTCGGATACAGGAAGGAATGAAGGGAGGAAGGAAGGAATAAAACAGGTATTGAGGACATGGGGAGGGGGAAGGGTAAGCTGGGACGAAGTAAGAGAGTGGCATGGACGTATCTATACTACCAAACGTAAAATGGATAGCTAGTGGGAAGCAGCCGCAGAGCACAGGGAGATCAGCTGGTGCTCTGTGACCACCTAGAGGGGTGGGATAGGGAGGGTGGGAGGGAGACGCAAGAGGGAGGAGATATGGGGATATATGTATACGTATAGCTGATTCTCTTTGTTATAAAGCAGAAACTAACACACCACTGTAAAGCAATTATACTCCAATAAAGATGTTAAAATAAATAAATAATAATAATTAAAAAAAGAATTGCTGTACATTTTGAATGTGAGCTTGCAGCATATGCAGTGTCCTCACACCTAATCTGTTGTTTTCTTCTTGGCAGACGCGTTACAAGATTTTGGCTTGTCTGTTGACCAGTGTCTCAAACAACTAAAACCAAATATCAACATCAGATTTGGAATCATTCTGAGTAAGTAAAAATTATTGACATAATACGAAACATTACACAACCTCTTCGCGGCCCCGACGCCCAGTGGCCCGCGTTCACTGTGGCGGCCGTGGCGACACCAGTGCTCCCAGCAGTCTTTGGAATGAACTCCAGTGCCATTTTCGTTTTCATTTCTCCCTCTGGGTAATATCCAGATAGAGCAGAACCCTCACTTCGTGCTGTGCTTTTGTACCAGAAAGACCCTAGGCACTCATTTGGGTATTACAAGCCCCTGGAATCAGTATATGAAGCAAAATAAAGAAAATATTTTGAGCCTAAATATTGGTGTCTGCTTGAGAGACCTTTTTTGCTTAGTTATCTCAGCCCCAAACAAGCCACAACCAGCAGCATGGTTTATCTTTGCGTTATTTCATTCCCCAAATAGCTCTTGTAAGTTCTTAAACCTTGACACAGGCAAAGACACGGAATATCTTCTCCCTGCACCCCAATCCATGAGCCAGAATGCTTTCTGATTGTTTATTTTTACGTGGTCGTGTCATTACCGTTGGTCATTACATTGCTATAGCTGCTAGTGTATCTCCTTTCTAACACAGATTCATCAAAACCAGGGCAGAAGGAGTTAATAAACTAAGCATGTGGGATCACTCCAGAGAAACGGAGGGAACATTCCGGAGGCCAAGAACTCTCATGCATCTTCATATTTCCAGACCCTGCACAGCCTCTGGGCTCTATACCAGCAGCTCCGTGGATGCTTTAGGGAGAGACAGAGAGGAAAGAGGAATAGAAGGTGGAGTGAGTGAAACATAAAAGGGAGGGATGGAGAAAAGGGCAGAAAGTCGGGAGCCAGCTCTGCAGAGCAGCCGGAAGCTTCCTGTGTGACAACGGGACAATGTCTGCCTGCCATCAGCAGTGAGGGTAGGCAGGCTGGACCACAGCCCACTGCTCTCAGGGGAGGCACCTGGGACTACGTAGCTGAGAAGCTGTGGAAGCCAGGCCCCCGGCCGCCACATTCAGGGGCCATGGCATCAGGCCAGGGGAGCAGGTCAGCTACCTGCTCCAAGCAGATGAAGTTCGTGAAAGGGCCTCATTTCATCCCCAGGGCTGTCCCAGTAGCGTTGCCCCCATGCTGTTTTACCAAAAAAGAAAACTGTTCCCTATACAGTGCAGATTTCTGGAAAAGAAAGGTCCTTTGGCTCATGCTTTTATGAATTTTGAACACCGTGCTGCACAGCAAAACCCACACTAACAGGAAAGCTGGTCTTCCCTTTCCCTTCAGGGGAGGATATCAAGGAGCTGTTTCTGGACATCGCTCTCTTCAGTAAAGGCCTGTCCATTCTGAACTTCTCCTACCCCATCTGTGAAGTGGATCTACCCAAGTTTTCTTTCTGCGGAAGAAGGAAAGGAGGTAGGTGTCTGGCTGGCTGATGCCCAGAGGGAGGTGGACAGGAGCTCACGGTGGAGGTCAGGACACCCAGGCCGGCATCTGGGTCTCCCCCCTCACCTGTGGACGAGCTTAACCTCACGTATCATCACGTGTTGTATAAAAACGACCACACGGCCCATCCCACAGGGCCTGCCTTACGGGGGAGTGTGAACAGCAAATGAAATGTGCCTATCGGGTGTTTACAAAGAGAAACTTGTTACTGTTAGTGGTGGCACCTTGTGAAAAATGACTAGCGACAGAAAGAACCAGTAGCTTCCCCAAATCCACTGAGATTCAGTGTTTCCAGGCTTCTCGTCAGCGATCCCTTTAGTGGCAGGGTCTCCTCGATATACGCTGGCGGGATAAAATGAAGCTTTCCAAATGTCACTGTTGAACTGTGGTCATTCCCTTTGAGCCAATGGCCAATAGGGACATTAGGTATCTTGATTCAAAATATATTGAATAGAAGCGTGAAACCCGCTGTATTATCTCCTCTTTCTCCAATTCACCAACCCCCAACCCTCTGCTAGTCGTACCCCACTCTGGCCTGTCCCCCGCCACGTCCTCCTTTGTCCTCACCACCGTCTTCACTGAGGCCCTGAGATGCCTCTGTGTATTTAACTAAAACTTGGGTCTGACCTGTGACTGACCTTCCCCGGAAGCTGCTCTCGTCCCCCTTCCCAGGGCCTCCTTCCCGTCCCCGTCGGCCAAGGGGGAGCAGACCCTTAATCCCACAGCCCACAAACACCTGCTTCTCTATTTCCACATTCACGCAAACTAGAGAGAAATCAGCCAGTTATGCTTTCTGAACAAACAATCGAGAAGAATTGGGGTCCCCTTCCCATCCTAAGGGATGCAGACAAGGGAGGTTTGTGCAAGAAAATGGGGGAATTTAGGGCGTGCAGGCTGGAAGGAGCAGGCTGGACTTGGCTGTGATGTGCAGGCGACAAGCCTCAGCTCAGCCCTCCCTCGCGACCCTCCTCTCTGCTCCCCGAAGTGTGGGACTCATAACTCAATTCTAGCACCTGCCATGTTGGCCTCCAATCGCTCACTCTCATTTGTCATCCCCCATAGACTTCCTGTGGATGGGGTGCTACCATCTCCATCTTCTTACTCGCAGGATATTGAATGCACGGATACATAGGGAGTGCTAAGGACAGCACATATTCAGAGTGAAATAGCTAATGCAATATTAAGCACTGGTGCCACACACTGTTCTAAGAGCTTTTCATCCAGTGAGTCATTTACTTCCTACCCCACCCTCAAGAGTTAGCATTATTAATACTCTACAGATGCAGAAAACAAGGCACAGAGTTTTAGGACCTTGTGCCGTCACAGAGCTGGTGGGGGACCCATGGCTTCAACCTGGACAGGCTGGCTCCAGAGCCATAATCTTGGCTTCTAAGGAATGAATGAGCAAAAGAACAAACAATGAAACGTATGAATGTGCCTTTTGACCAGGAGTTTGTTTAAAATTTTTTATTTAAGAACTCTTTCTGGCCAGTGATCTGACTTTGTTTCGAATCAGGACATTTTAAAATTCTTAACTAACCTACCAAAGAATGATTAGTCAGTTTTCCTTTTTCAACTTACTGGAAATATTTCTGATTAATCGGGTGCATTGATGTATTTCCCCAGCACGGTGAACTCTTCATGAGTTGGCCCCTATTTAACGTTTTCTACCTGCCCTCGGCCATGCCTGTACCAAACTCCTCACCCTACAGTCAATCTCCTTCCCATTTCCTTCCTTCCTTCCTTCCTTCCTTCCTTCCTTCCTTCCTTCCTTCTTTCAACACTAAGTCCCTACTCCATGCCAAGCACTTTGGGGAGCCTGAAGATGAACCAAAAATAGTTTCTGCCTTCAAAGACATTCATGACAGTCTGAAGGGATTGGAGAGTCACAAGACAACTCTTCCAAGTTGCATTAAAGAGGTATAAAATGCCAAGGAAGCTGGATGGGTAGAGGTCATTCCCAATGGATTCAACCTATTGGAACAGGGCAATCTGGGAAATTTAATACAGAATTACTTTCCTGATTGCCTTAGGTTTTTTGAAAGCCAGTTAGAGGCTATATATAATATAGCATAAAATGCTGATGGTCTGCAAGCATTCCTGATTTTACAGAATGTTTTGGAGGACCTCAAAGCATCTTGAACTGATAACTAAATAATAACCCCCCTGAGAAAGATTGACGTCTTCATAAGCTGATACCTCTAGCCAGCGTCTACTGTCCTATCTCCTGTCTTTGGCTTATCTTTCCAGTGTTCTTCCCAAATAAGTATTCTTGAACCCAAATGTATGAAATGCATTCTTCCAAGCATACTGACATAGTGGTATGCTTGGAAGTACCGCCAGCTTAGTAAGAAAGGACACATACTGGGCTGTCCTTCACTCCTCCTTCCTTCTACTCCCTGGATAAAGTCTCCCCATCTCCCTCCTGGATGACAGAAATGGCTTCTAATTGGTTTCCCTCCCTCCCTACTGCCACCAGCATGGTTTTCTCAAATACCGATCTGATCACGTCTCCCCTCTTCCCAAAAGACTCCAAGAGTCCCCATCTCTACAGAACAAAGTCTAAGTTCTTTAGTGACCAAAGTTCATCACACATTTGACTCTAGCCTGTTTCTAGACACATGCTGCCCCACGAGGATGCACCCTTAAGCGCCAGCTTTATCATAAGTCATTTGCCACTGTCCGGCCACACCCTGTGTTTTCACTGACATGACGTTGCTCTGACGGTCCCCTTGGCCTCGAATATCTGTTCTCCCTTTGTCTTCTGCCCAGACCTAGCTCAAGGATCGCCTCCTCTGGGAAACATTCCTCCAGCCCCCAACCTGGTGAAATGCTCCCTCTGGATCCTCCTGGAGTATCACATTCTTACTTATCTCAGCTGAAGTTATACTATATAGTGTGTGTGCGTGTGAGTCTTCCTTGAAGGAAGACACTTCAAACTGTGATCTCCCTGAAGGAAGGGGGAATCTTTCTTGCTCCTTTCTATCTCTGCAGACCTGACAAAGAGAGCCTGGCACCGAATAAAGATGCAATAAATAACTGAGTTTGCATATGATGGATTAAATGCAAGTTTACCAGCCCAGAAGTGACCATCCGATGATGTTTACGCATACCACAGGCAAAAAGCATGTCAAACCCTAGTAAATATCTTGGTCCTCCAAGTTTAAGAAAACTGAACTAGTTTTTCCTCCGTGAATGGTTTTAATAAGTTTAATAAAACAGAAGAGATATTATTCCCCAAAACTGAGGTAGTCCAATTCAGTTCAGCAGCTTGAAAGGCTGGTGTTTATCTTATCTGAACACCGGGCAGCCCTGCGGCCATTTATTGGCTTTCTTGCTGTGGGGTTAATAATTGCACCGGGGGGGCTGAGAAGCCAAACTTGCGGAATCGCCAGGAAGTTTGATCAGAAAAGCGATACACAAATGCGGCATAAACAAATGCTTATGTAAATTACATAAGCCAAGAAAGAGTAAAATCTTACATTCAGAGGCTTCTTGGGTTATTAAATTTTTTTAACCCACCCACAAGCCTACTGCAGGAATGATTCTATTGAAAAGAAGTGATTAGAAAAGGGGACAAAACGGCACCGATGAGCAGTGAGGTCAATTCCAGCTCAAACACCAGTGGTGGCTGGTGATGTATTAAGGAGAAAGCTGAGTGCCTCCGGGGTTGCAGGTCCTTCTCAGCAGAGCGGTGACAAGACTTGTTGTCCCCACCACAGGCCACACAGTACGTACGGTATCAGCCGCAGTTGAGTGATGTTTCCACGGCATTAGGATGCATTCCTCTGCACCCAGCCGGCTGTTCCCCAAGCCAGATAACACTGCAGAATGGGTCAGGCTTAATAAGACTGTATGAATAAAATGCTGTTGCCTTTTCTTCTGCATCTTCCTCAGCTAGCTCTAAGGCAAAAGCACATGGGATTCGAAGAGCCAATGATGCTCTTTTGACATTCCCATTTAGGGTGTGATGGATAATTTGGGGGAAACAGCCTATAGGTCCAATTATAGGGAATGGGCTGAATTCAGCCAGTTTTTCAGCCAAACAAAGGTACAATCTGCTGTGCTTTTAAATGATGCTGTAGGAGATTATGAAGGTACATAAAAAGATACTCATAAAAATATTGTTAAGTGACAAAGAAGCTGCCATAAAAGAGTACCCACTATTGGATTTTGTTTTTATTAAAATGTATGTAAGTGTATACACCAAAAAACTCTGAAACAGTATACACTTGGGTGTTAATCATGATTACCTCTAAATGGTGGCACTGCAGAACCTTATTTTCATCTTTTTGGAAATCTCTTTCGTTAGTATAATAAATTTACAAGGTTGCTCTTTTAAATATTAGTTGATCTTTGTAGGAAAGACTAGAGAGGATGAATTCTCTCCCCTCCGGATAGTAAATAAGAGTTTTCAAAAAAGAATCATAACCTACTTAACACTCAATGATATTTGGAGTTACACAGAATCTGAATCAAAGTGTTGGATCATCTCGTATCCATTCTGTACTCTTTCCCTGTGTTCCCACAGCCCCCTTTACTGGCTGTGGGTTCATTTAGCAGGAACCAAACTCGGCCCCTGTTTTACTTCCTACTCTACTTCCTGCTCCTTTCTCTCCTCCTGGCATCAGGTCATATAGATCCATTTGCTTTGCTTGGTCTTGATGCTTTCAAACTGGCTCCATCAATGTTTACGACTGAATTGGGATTAAATTGAATGTCCCTAGAGACCACACCTAATTACCATCCCTGAGGAGGGAAGCTGCAGTAAACTTCTTTTTTTGTTTTTTAACATCTTTATTGGAGTATAATTGCCTTACAATGGTGTGTTAGTTTATAACAAAGTGAATCAGTTATACATATACATATGTCCCCATATCTCTTCCCTCTTGCGTCTCCCTCCCTCCTACCCTCCCTATCCCACCCCTCTAGGTGGTCACAAAGCACGGAGCTGATCTCCCTGTGCTATG